AAAATTCTTTTTTTCCATATATGTGGTTCACCTCAGAAAGTATAGTAACATAATAATCGCTCTCAATTAGGCCTTCCTTTCTTGCGCGATAGATCAGTGCCCAAGCCCAGTTGAATGGGAGGAAATATTTGTTGTAATTGTACTGTATGCCATCAAAATTTTCTTTCTCATGGGGCATCATGAATCCTGGAAAGTAATGTATAATCAAAATTTAACCTTACATTTTAAGTACTTAGGAATTCAAAAAACGCAGAAAAGTTTTAAAAAATTTTGGATACGGTAGGATTCATACCAGCTGCAGCAACTGTATCCAACGTAGGGAAACGTTTACGGCATTGCATTGAAAGATCACGGAAAACAAGAACCTGTAAGAGACAAAAGTAGAAATTTTGTTGCACTACTGATTGGTTATTTAGATCTCTAAGAATGGCGAGAATAGGGCTTCCAGGTGACATAAATAAAATCAGTTATCGTTTAATGATAAATGTGACATTAATTCGGTAATTTTCATTTGATTAAAAATGACAAGAATACTATCTCTTCAATTTAAAAATTTCGATTACTTGCTCTTTTACCTACCTTTTATTAAGGTTTGCCACTCTGCAAAATCTATTAAAGAAGTACAGTAGTAGATTTGAGTTTAACATTGGAATTACCCAGAATCTCCAAACCACCAAAGCCTCATCACCTGTGTGAGCTGACAGTATCGCACGATATTTCTACGGTACTGACGAGCACGTTCTTGTGTACCGCGGACGTACAGAGCCGTCATTAGAGCAATGCTAAAAATCAGAGATTATTCTTATTTAATAGAATTGAAGGACCCTAATATAGGCGGAATTCAAAATACTTACTTATCCATGAACCCGATGATATTGAACAGATACCAAAAACGTTTTAGCACCCCAGCCACAAAGAAGCCCAGCATCAAATCAAGTGGGACGTAAGAAAGCCGCGAATTTGTAAAATCCACGAGGTCTGTGAAGACTCTGGAAGATGGTTACGCAACATGTATATTGTATATGTATAAATGAGGCATGTAGAAAACACTTAAAGGCTTTTTTCAAAATAATTTTCTACACCTTTGACCTACCTTAGAAGAAAGCTGTAAGTTCAACTGTGTAACTGAAGTTAAAACTGAACTCAATTGGCATGGTTAAAAAAAATATTTTACAGAATTTTTCTGGAAAAGCAATATAATTGCATCACACCGGAAGATTGCACCTCCTTTTTGACTCATTCAATAGTGTATGGCTACTCGTTTATTAAACTAGAATATTTAGTAAAGAGAAAACAAAACTCATCTTAACTTTGGAAGAAGTTAGGGTAACTCTCATGATAAAAGCAAATTTAGATGGAAGTACTTGCAGAGCTGTCTTTTAGCGCACTTTCCAGCTGTTCAAGAAATTTTTGATGTATTTTAGACATATGATTTCCATAAATAGAATGTTTGATAAAAGCTTTTCCAACAGAGTGTCCTTTTTAACTCAAAGATTTCCAAATGTAATGTTGGTTTTTTTCATGCTCAAATGTAGTTAAGCAAATTCCTTTAATCTTTAAACAAATCGATATCTTGGACAAACGAACAAAATTCCTGCTTTTTATCGTTGGGCAGAAACAGCTACTTTTTGCGAAGTCTGAGTTGATTTCTATGGTCACAATTCTAAATCCACCACTTCAAAACTGGATTCGCTCACGCAGTGAGTCATCATAGATTGGTCACGATAGCTGTTCTAGTTCTGCGCGATATTCAGAATTGCCTCATGCTCTACTTTTGGATCTTTCATGGTTTGACATAGCTTTAGCAAGATATGTAGTTAGTTATTTTAGCATTAACTGTGCGCAGTATCGATTGAATTCCCTTGATTTCATAATTAGAACCTGCTAAAATCTCCATTTAATAAAATTTTAAAAACACTTTTTGTGCTCATTTAGCTTCATTCTCATAGAAGGAAATCTTCATCTAAACTTTGATGACAAAAAAATAAGATTTTAATGAATAGAAACTTTCTTGAATTTGCTAAAATTTGCAATTTTTCAAACATCTACTTTTCCTGGTTCTGTATTTACGCTAATATCATTGTACCCTCGCGAGCTAGAAAAAGAAGCAGTTTTGTTGAATTTTCGCATAGACAGCTTCCATGATGCAACCTCTGAATTACGGTATCCTTCAACCAATTCGTTATGGATATGCTCCCTTCTATTCCTCAACTCCGCTTTCACCTTTTCTTTTTCAGTTATTTCTTAAATAATAGTGGAAGTAAAAAGCGACATTTATAATTTC